CGGATGGAGGTGGATTGAGCTCAATCCGATCCACCTCGGTAACACCCTAGAAATTCCTTCCCTTTAGAATACCTGTTTTGCCCTTTTTAAAATAAGAAAAAGAAAAATCTAAGACATTACCGCCACCGTGAAAACGGCTAAGGCAATTATCAAAGACACACAGCGGAAGACTACCTTTAAAACTATTTAAAATCAAGTCAACTTTAAAAGTCAAACCAAACGAAAGTAAAAGTCAAACAAAGTCAAACGAAGTCAACCTACAACTTGGAACCATTGTAGGCCCTTAAACCAAAACACTTGAAAATCCTTTTCCGTTAGTCTCACAATCAACATAAATAATAATATAATAATAATAATAATAATAATAATAATAATAATAATAATAATAATAATAATAATAATAATAATAATAATAATAATAATAATAATAATAATAATAATAAACATGCGGTTTTTGATGGGGATATTTATGGGGATCATGCGGTGTCTTGTGCTGGGATGGTAGGTATTAAACATCGGCACAATGTTGTTCGTGATACCCTTGTTGATATTTGTTTCCGCTCTGGGATTTCTGCAAGGAAGAAGGTTAACGTTGGTTTGACTGGAGGGAATGACGGGGCCCTTCGACCGGCAGATGTGTTACTTTATTCCTGGGAAAGAGGTCTTGATGTATGTGTTGACTTGACGGGGTCTTCTCCTTTGACTCAATCTGGGTTGTCTGACTTTGTTCCTGGTCGTGTTGTGTCGGCTGCGGCTCAGCGGAAGCGGGACAAGTATGGGGCGTGTTGCAGGGAAATTGGCTATGGTTTTCTTCCTTTCTCCTTTTCTTCATTGGGGGAATTAGAGAAGGATGTTGTTGCGTTGCTGAAGCGGATTCAGGCGTTTGCTAGGACTCAGGATATTGGTGCTCGTGCAGCTGCTCATATCTTCAACAGGATCGGGTTCGCTATAGCTGGAGGGGTGGGGGCCCAGATTGTATCTCGGCTCCCCACTAATTTCTTGTAAATCAATTGACTTTGTAGGTTTTTGTTATAATAATAATAATAATAATAATAATAATAATAATAATAATAATAATAATAATAATAATAATAATAATAATAATAATAATAATAATAATAATTCTAAGCAGTAACACATCATATTCTTATGAGAACTAAGCATGATTCCCTCTTCACTCAAGTCCATCATGAGTATGCTTCATCACCTAAAAAGTTTCTCTCTACTTGTCCCCACTACTCGCCATTAGAAATGGGTCGTCGTAGGGCCAAGTTAAAGACAAGGCCAGACAAACACACAATACACACAATCAGCAAAGCTGAGTTCATAAGCGTAAATAGCACACACTAACATGCTTTCATCCTATCAACATACAACTTACCTCGATGCACCTGTTTACAAGCACACAACATTCATCATTTGACTCGACTATTAACTAATATTTATTTAATTTTTGATTACACATCGAACGGGTTTCCAACCAACTACCTGCCTCAAATAAATTGAGGTAAATTACACCGGGAGCTAACCGGGTAGGCAAATGTCACATGAAGTGACTGGATCCTGCGCATAATAAATAATAAAAATGGAAAGTACAGCGCCCTATACCAGTAGGAGTTATGGTCAAATATAAAGTCGCATAACCCCCCCATATGTTCATACTCAAGGTATATACGTTCCAAGAGTTTTGGTGTGTAATCTCTTTCACTTTACGTGATTTACAAATTATTAGACTTGGTGATGACTCTCAAACACAACACCACCAAACATTACAATTCACTCAAGCAATCAAACAACCAATTTAATTCTTGAATATTTAGTGACCATATAAATTTAGTGTGGAATCCTTTTTAAACTACCTTGGTGTTAAATAACACCTTAAGTGCATAAGGCACCGCAAATGCTATCCCTCGGTGTTAGAAACACCTTAAGTGCACATAGGCACCACAATATAATTTATCCATGTGTACTAAGACACTTAAATAGCTCTTTCCTCATGCTTATAGTATCAAAAAAAATTATATGAACCATAATAAAATTCCTCTTCCATAATCCAAACCAAGATAAACATCCAGTTTAACCAAACATGCTTTCTAACATGCCAATAATAAAAGTATGGTTCAATATCAACATGCCAATCTAATATATATAAATAAAGTAGGCATTTTTTAAGAGCATTTGGGGCGTCACATAAGAAATATACTTATTTCGACCAATAAGAAAAAAGATTTGTATTTTATTTTTGAATTAAAAAATTATGTCGCCACCTAGATAAAAGTAGCGAATTAGATTTGATATATTTAAAATTTTAATGCCACGTAGATTATAATCCATGAATTAAATTATTTTAATGAAAAAAATAAAGTAAAAATATAGGAAAAGATAAATTTATTAATTCAATACTACGGGTATAAGAAATCCAAAAAAACTATACTAAGAAATATTTAAATGATAAACACTTATAATAAAGTTTGATACCTATCATTATAAGATAAATTTTGATAGTATTTATGATAAGAAATACAAATTGTTCGTTAATTATAATTAAATTAAAATTTGTGATACCTACCATTATAAATTGAAACATCATACGATACAAAAAAAAATTTGTATCAATAAAAAATCTCATCAAGCGAATTTTATGTTAGTAATTTTGTGTTATTTTTTTGGTCATCAATGGCCGGGTAATTTTTAGCTTAATTTTTAAAATCCTATATTTAAATTAGTATTTCTAATTATTACTTACATTGTATTAATTTGGGATACTCAGCGATTATATGTTTATATTTTATTTACTAAATGTTTTTTTACATGCAGATCTAACACATCATGCGGCACAAATAAAATTTCGTATCAATACAAAACCCCATCAAGCGAATTTTGTATTAGTAATTTTGTGTTAGTTTTAGGTCATCAATGTCCGGGTAATTTTTAAAATCTTATGTTTAAATTTATATTTGTAATTATTAGTTACATTGTATTTAATTAGGATACTTAACGATTATTTGTTTATGTAATGACATACGATTAGATGTTGTATACTTAATATATGGATGGCTTTGGTTATTTTTGGAGATGATGAAAAAATTCCAATGCATAGATTTGATTTTATATCACAACAATTTTTCATTTATTGGTAAATATATTGATTTATTTTATATAAATGAAAAGATTTAATTAATTTATATCAATTTTAGTTTGGCTAACATTTCACGGTTCAATTTATCCATTGATGTAGTAGGTTGGTTATAGACGAGGTTGGTGATTCTATCGAAATAAAAGATATGGTAAAACAATGAATAATGATTTAGGATTTAAATTATTAAAAATTTATCATTTCACATTAAAGATTTTATATAACGGAAAAAATATCATATTTACAATTTATTTATATTTAATAAATTCATTATAAATTATAGTAAAAATAATAAATATTAAACTTTTGTAATTTTGTCTGAAATTATTAAATACAATAAATCAAATAATTAAAATCTTAGATGAAAAAATCGTGCATCGCACGGGCTTCCATCTAGTATAATTAATTCCAATCACCAAATCACCATAAATAATTCATCATCACAAATCATTCACCAACATTAATTCAATCAACAAATTTCATCCAACACCTATCATGATACTACTTGGAATTAATTTAACAAAGTCTAGCATGCTTCTATACACTTAAACTTTACCAAGTACGCGAACGTACCTCGAATACAATCTCAAAATAGCCACGATTACACAAAGTCACTCACTTGGAAGTCTCCTACAAACCACAATTATAAAGGAGTATTAATACCCTTCTAACACAAAATTTCAGCAATATATACTCTCTTTAAATCACTCAAAAACCTCTTTAAAATAATCTGAATTTTTATCTAAAACCCTTACTTTATTCCCCAATTAAATGGGTAATTAAAGATCTTTTCAAGAGACTTAAATTAGACTTATATATAAAAATTCCAGCATTATTAAAACTTATAAAATTGCTGTAATTTGGTTTAAAAACATTAATTTTTAATAATTTCAATCAACCACAATTAAATTCCATCCATAAACATTAATTTAAAAACCTAGGGTTTCCAATCTTGGGGCTTTTTAATTAAAAACCAAAAACTGAAAAACTATAATTAAAATATTTGTTATTAAACATCCTAAGAATCATCACAAAACCCAAAAACAACAATTGGATTTAGGGTAGATTTAATTAAAATAAGAAAAACAACATATATCTTTCGTTAAAATCAAAAACTGCCCGAAAACCATATTTAGAGGCTGAATTTGGCCACGAAAGGGTGGTGCAAACTACCATAGGTAGTGATTTTTGTTTAGAATATTGTTTACACACGAAAAACACTATTTTTTTTTTGTAAAAATCGGACGAGTTAGAATTTAATCGTGATTACATCGAGATTAAGAAAATTATGAACGGAGAATACGCAACATGCAACCACCTAGCCGCCGCTGCCACGCTGCCTGGTGGCTGCTATCACCGGCGAAGGTTGGTGGTGGTGGCCGGCGTGTGTGGTGGTGGTGTGGTGGTTAAACAATAAATAATTAAATTAATTAAGTAAAGGGAAAGGGGAAAATTAAGGGGAAAATAAAATGACAGGAGAGAGAGAATTTACCTTTAGGTGAACTCCACCCTAGGCACATAAGGGGTATTTATACCCTCTCTCTCAATCCTCCTACTTACTTCCCTTAGTAATCCCTTTCCTAATCAAATTAGGATTTGACTTTCTTTAAAACTTTGACTTTTAAATTATTTAATATAAAATAATGAGCCCCAATATTTTAAATCATAAAATCTAATATTTTCAAGATTATTAAATAATAAAATATATTTTTAATTAAAATTATTCTTTTTGTATTGAAGAAACCCTAAATAATTCATTTCGTATTATTTGAATACTTCATGAAATACTTATTTAAATTTGAAATACATATAAAAATACGAAGTATTACATCCGATCCATTGTCAGCCCTAACCTCATCAGCTGTTACACTAAAATACTTCCTTTTTTGGTTTTAAAAGCATGTTGATAGTCCATCCTAATCTCCACAGCTAGTCCTAGCTCCTTCACTAGCATTGACGCAACCAATTGATGATCCGCAAACAATGGCCATGTAGCCACGGGAACCCTGAACCACAATGTTTCTAACGTCGAGCTCCACCCACAATGTGACAAAAACCCTCCTACAGCCGGGTGGGCTAGGATTGCGACTTGAGGTGCCCACCCAATAACTTTTCCTCTTTCACGTGTACGACCTAAAAAACTCTCAGGTAATAAGTCCCCGTAGGGGTCATCATCTACATGCTTCTCCACGCCCTCAACCGAAGTTACCTTCTTCGGCAGGGTCCATAGGAATGGGTACCCGGATCTCTCCAGGCCAATGGCTAGCTCTTTTATATGGTCCGTAGCAAAGCTGCCCATAATGCTTCCAAAGCAAATAAACACAACTGTTGATAAAGTTTTACCATCTAGTCATTGTAAGATCTTGTTAGACTCGTGCTCGTTTTCTTTAATTTTATTGTTAAGCTCTAAGACAGGATCTACTGGATACACGGTAGGGATACTGCCTTTTACAGCTTGATCTAGCAAGTAATGTAGCCCGAATGTTTCGAGCTCTTCGAAAGTGTTTATCAAAAAACCCGGGGATGTCGTATTCAACGTCCCGGTCTTTAAACCGTGTAGGTAGGTCAACCCCATCATCATGAGCCAGTGATTGGCAATACAACAAGATGTTAAGGAACTTAACACCCAAAGTATATAAAATATAGGAGGGTACCTTAAAGTAGTTGTGCACAATTAGGGATGTCAGTGGGGCGGGTCAAATAGGAGAACCCGCCCCAACGGGGCAGGGATGGGTCTTGGTTTGGCGGGTGATGGGGCGGGGATGGGGATAAAAACCATACCCACCATGGGTGATGGGGCGGGGGTGGATTTTAGGTTGTACCCACCCCACCCCACCCCACCCCACCCGCCTCACTTCGTACCCGCCCCATTCCCACCTACCCCACTTCGTACCCGCCCCATCCCTACATCCATATATTTTTAAAAACAAAATTATATACTTTTATACTATTTTATAAAAAAAATTATGTAAAATAAAATAGTAAATATAATACTTTGTAATACACTTATATTATAAACAAAAAAATGTGTAATATTAACAATAATTTTTTTCTTTTTGCAACCTTTATTAATTATGAAGGATTGTGTATTTGGGAGGCGGGGATTAGGCGGGTCTTAGGTGGGGATTAGGTGGGGTGGATATCCAAGTGGGGGTTGGGGCGAGGATGGTTTTGGAATTGTACCCGCCGGGGCGGGGATGGGGATGAATTTTAGACCCGCCGCGGAGATGGGGATGGGGATGAAAATTTTAGATGGGGATGGGGATGGGAAGGCCAACATTCGCCCCGCCCCGCCCCCATTGACATCCCTATGCACAATATTTGATCTATCAAGTGTGTACAAAACGTGTCTAGGACGAATCCGGAGAGGTTGGATAACCTGGCTTGGATACGGTTGTCGATGGCTTGTTTGATGAGGGGCTTATTGAGCTCAATAATGAGGTTGGGACTGGCCGAGGGGTCCGGAAGAAGGGAAAGAGGTGGTAGGGTGAGGAAGGTAAGGCGGCCGTGGCTAGAAGCATCAACTGATTTGGACTCTACAAAGGCTTTAGTGTTGTGGGAATTTGTTGGATTGTCGAGTATGAGAATGAGGATGGAAATGTGTTGGTTGCGTTTGGTAATGAGTTTAGCTAACTCAATGGCTGGGACAAAGTGGCTTAGAAAACTTGGTGCTGGAACAAACACTAGCTCTGCTACTTGAGTGTTGCTCATTTTGGGAGCCTTTAATATTCTATATTGAAAAATAACGCTCTGAATAAAAGAGGTATGCTATATGATATGTTAACTTCCTAGAATTTGCAATCTCTATACTTCTTATCTTATATATAAAGGATAAGAAAATATATGGTGGAGTGTCTCCCTATAGTGGAGTCATTAGTTTTGTTAGTTTAATTGTTTGTTTTTGTTTAGTGTTTTTTTATGTGTTAGAGTTTATTAAAAAGGTAATCATTTTTTGCTCTATTATCAATTCGTTGGTAAAGATTTGTTCAGGATTGCAGCGGTTGTTAGTTATGACATGTTAACTCCCTAGAATTTGCAATCTCTATACTTCTTTGTGTGTTAGACAATCTGAAAAACTTATTATACCTGAAGTAAGTGAAAATAAGGTGAACAAAACAAGCCCGTAATGGTAGAGAGACATGTGATGAGGAGAGAAAAGAGAACAAAATATCTGCAATATGAATATATTGCAATATTTGTGAAAGTTCCTAAAATGGTGAGTAATTATGCAATATTTGTGGAATAGATAAAGTATATCATTGGATTATATTAATTGCAATGTCTATTCTATAATTTTTTTTTTCCCATTTCAACTAAAAAGCAATTAAAAATATGGTTAAAGTTATGTTTCGACAATTGTATCTATTAAAGTATAACAAATATTTAAAAATGGAGGGAGTAATAAAAAAATTGCTCATCTAACTAAAAGATTTAAGTAAATTAGAAAGCAACCGGGCTAGCTTGTGGAGTTGTGGAAATTTGGACCTTTTGTGATGAAAAGAACGTGGATAATGCTGGTTGTTTGTGATGGGCCTGGTTGCAAGAAATATATGGGTCTTGTCTTTATTAGGCCGGAAGCTGCTATTGTAGATCGCTGTGCAGCTACTGTAGTTATTTATGGCTAGACTCTATTCTAGGCATCATCCCCTACACCCCTCTCTAAACACATCGTTTAACACCCCTTTCCCCATCTACCTACTTTCATAGTTTCTGCAGTACTATACCCTCACAAAATGCAGCATACTATTACTCCCTAAAATCCTAAAAAAAATTCAGTAACTTCCTCCACCCCACAAATATATATACCCAAAAAAAAAAAAAAAAAAAACATCTTGTTCTCTCTTTATTTTCCCTCTCCATTATCTCTCTCATCTAAGCTTTAAAACTTCAACCATGGCGGACATTAGAGACGAAGTCAAACAACCGAAGCAAATTTCACCGAAAAAAAGTAGCGAAAATCAAAAGAGTAAGTATAAATGTTCATATAAATTTTTATTTTTTTTAAAAAAAAAAACTAATTTTTTGAGAATTTATTTGTAATTGTGTTTCAGGAAACAAATTGATAGTTTAATAACTGAAAATGTATATATGTAAGTATTTATGTTAATAATTCATCAATTTCAAAGTGATTATTTCGAATAATTAGTAAAATTAACATCTACTTGCTTCAATTTCATTTTTCAGTTTGGAGAAATCTATTTCAGAGAACAGAAACAACGATTCTTCAAAAATGTAAGTATATTACTCAAACTTCTTAAATTTACAAGAATTTATTAAAAAAAATTTATTAAATGGTTTATAATGTAAAAATTGAGATGATGGTGAAACACCTCTACAAAAAAACCGGCGAACAAAAATCTCCTATTGTAGATCCAACACTTTCAAAGATATACAAGCGTTAAGGCTGCAGATGTAAAAATAGTGTCTCGGACGCTTAGGTAAAATGAACAATTATAAAGCACTATATGTTCATTTTCATATCATATTATGAAAATATTCACATGTTTACCTATAATTACATGTTAATATGTATTTATTAACATATTCAGATTTGATTTTTTTTTTTAATTTTAAATATGTGTTATTGATTTGTATAAAACATTATGAACGCATGCATACAAAACTTGGTAATACATTCAAATGTTTTTTTAATAGTTTATATATGTGCATTTACATTTATTAATATGTTCATTATTTTTAAATATTATGAGCATTTTTACATACATATATGAACATTTTTAAATGCATAATAAACAAAGCTAGATTATAGTTTTATACCATTTTAAGTGAAACATTTGATGGAATTTAGAGATGGATATGCTATTCATATTTTATAATTCATATATGAGCATCTACCTGTAAAAAAATATGTCATTTATATTAAAAAATAATGTTCATTTGTAGATACATATATGAACATATATGAAATACATACTGAACATTTTTTTTTCTTCATATAAATTGATATAATCTATATTGTAGTGATGTGTCATTTAAAGTGGCAATGAGGATTACACAAACTGTGAAGTTTACATTATGAAACACATGGAAACATTCACTGGTGATCAAAATAAAAAATGGATTTGTGACTTAAACCCAAACAATGTTAGTCCATCAAATGATCATTTACTTAAAATATATCGTTTATTTATATATTATTAAATAACAATTAATATTATATTATATATTCATTTTTATCAACAGGTAGACCAAATCAGGAAGCTGAGGATGCAATACACAACTCAACTAATGCTTTTGAAGAAAACACTGAATGTAGGATCAACAAAAGATTATCAAGAAAAATTACAAAAGAGTAGTACTACATGTTCATTTATAAATTTATATGTGTTCATTTATACAAAGATATATGTTCTTATATGTGTTCAATAGAACTTATAGATTTTACTCGCTTAAGAGTCTTTATTTGGTATTTCTATTTTTTTTAATAGAATTTGATATTTCTTTTTTTAATATTGTATGTTAAATAGCTAGTATTTCTTTTTTTAACATATTTAACAACTCGGTGTTTTGTATCTATGAAATGTTCATTTGCAAATAATTTACATCACTAACAATATTAAGGTTGAAAGAAAACATTGCTTAATAGAAACACAACCTTAGATCCATTACATGATAAAAATATAAAATGCAGTCTCATGAAAGTAGTAATTTAAAAGCTATGGTTTCCTAATGTACTCCCTCATTTACCATTACTAGTGAACCTCTTAGCTACATTTGTATCAAAAAAGACTAAGAACTTATCATACTTAATAGAAGTATGTCCTAAACCACCTCGAACACTTCTTAGAACTAACACTAGTAGTAGCTTGAACAGTTCTTGAAACACTTGTAGTAGCTTGAACATTTGTTGAAGCACTAGCTAGAAGCAGCGTGAACATTCCTTGAAACAATAAGAGTATCTTGAGCATTTCTACTATCGGCTGCAATAATTATAATAAACAAATATAATATCAATAATGTTCAATTATATTATTATTATATTAAAAAACATATATATCTACATAAATGATCATTTATCGTTACATAACTGAACATCTTTATAACTCTACACATTAACATATAATAAAATTTGTTCACTATTTAAAAGGCATATGAACAAATACAAACCAATGATTATCATTAAAATAGACATATACACATATATATTGAAAATACAACAAAATTAACATAAAATTTATGTAACTTAGAAGTGTGTGATTTGTTCTTCTACTAGTAATTTCCATGGAAATTCAATCAACAAAAATTTCATTGATTGAATTTCCCATCAATTTTTGTCCCTCTTAAATTTTTTAGTCTCTAATTTTACTTTGTCTTTTTAATTGACAGTTATCATAAGCATAGCTGCTTTCTTTTTCTTTCCCTAATCAAAAAAATTTCTTAAAGTAGTTTTATTTTTATTTTAACTTTATTAATGTTCATTTTCATATTGATAAATGTTCATTTCCATATTGATACAAGATCACTTTATTTTCTATATATTTATTGCGATATTGATACATACATGGTTTATGTTCGTTTTCGTATTAATAAATGTTCGTTTTTGTATTAATAAATGTTCATTTTTTATTTTGATAAGTTTATTATTTCAATTTTGATAGACATTCATTCACGTTTTGTAAATAATGTGTATTGATTGTTACAAATACGTATTCTTTTTTATGTATAGTATGGAGTAGCAGGTAATTAAGTATATGTAGTACTTACTACTTAGCCTGCCTGTATCATTTGTATGTCACACCTAAGATAAAAGTATTTTTATGCAAGCAGTAAGATACTAAAAAATTTGAGTAGAGCTTTATATGTTTAACCACATATATTTTTTAATGCTCATTAATTTTATGCCATGTTCATTATCATTCCAATATAAGTTCATTTATATGTGAGTAGATGCTCATTATATAATATGTTGATCACGTTAGTTTCTATACTCTTTTAGGTTCATTTTTATGTATATATTGTTTTTTTTAATAGTTTTTCATGTGTTATTTTTCCTATCATATATATATATAGCGTCTAATGTTCATATTTATTATATTTAAACTACTTATAAATAAATTTGATGTTCTTATCAAAGCCTTTTGCTTATTCTCATGTAGATACATAGCCAGGATATTAATAGATGTAGATTTCGATTTTTTTAGTAGATGTTTATACATATAGTATTGCAATTGTTCAATCCCATAATTTAAATGCACGGTCAAGATGTTTGTTAATTTTTGTTTTAATTTCAGGATATTTTAATAAATGTTCATTCTTGTATTGAAATATGCTCATCTAGAAATGGATGCATGTTCATTGTCATATTTATACATGTACATCAAGTTATGGATATATTGACAATATAGTGAAATCAATAGCTACAGGAGAACAAACTCATATTGCACAACCTATAGTGTTTACTTGATGAACTACAATACATTCTTTTTGTTGAATGTTCATTTTCATTTTGATAAATGTTCATTTATATATTAGTATATGATCATTATTCGCATATTAATAGACGATCATTAGATTTCTGATAAATGTCCACACTTTTTCCATCTTCGATCTTTATATATTTTCTACATATTTAATAAGGAATTTCAAAAACAATTTGATTTTCTATAGCTTTTCATGAAAATGATAAAAAAAATGTTCATTTATATATTATTTGATGTTCATTTTCATATGTATAAATATTATATACTTTATATACTCCACAAATTTTTAATATATGTTTATTTTTCACATAAGCCTCAATAATTATCCTCAAACTCCTTTAATAATACAAAAAAGATAACTTTTATAAATTTTTAATCATCTATGAAAATAATTAAATGTTCTATCAAACCATAATTAAATGTTCAATTACAAAATATTATATGTTCATTTATGTTTGTCTTTCATTCATGAACAAATTCATTATACAGTACGGTACGGTGTTTCTGGTATCTTTTCTTCAGCTTTAGTCTTCATAATTTTCTCTCTCTTTTTTAATACTCTACAATCCTCTAAGCTTCATTCTTCATCTTTTTCTTCTCCCTCTCTATTACTTTCATATTTGGCATCAACTACAAAGTAAATTAAAAATTGGAACAATAAGTAATCCACAACTTTAGTTGCGTCGTCATCGCCTCCACCACAACAGTAAACTAGCATATATAATTCCAGATCTTCATCCCACGAAAAAAATCAGGAAATATTGGATCAAATTATTTTTATAATTTTTGTGTTAGTTTCTTGATATGGCTTGCCTGTTTGATTAAGCTCGTTATTTGCTTGTTGAACTAATTGATCGTAAGTTACGGCAATCAATTTTTGATCAAATCAATACACAATAATCTCTGCAATTCATAAATATATCTAAAGCATGCAAATGTAGCAATTATACCGAAAGTTATTTTGTGATCGACGGAGAAGTAGAAATGGCAGAGAGATCAACAAAGATGTAAGATGGAGATCAAGTTAGATTGTCCTGTAGTTTGAAGGTGAAAGAAATTAAAAACAATAGTGATGCGGCGTCGTTTGCAAGGGGGTGCAGGGATTTCATCCTAGACTAGAGTCTAGGTAAAAATTTGTAATAACCTTCATGTGCCACAGCTACTCTCTACTCCACACACCCCTTGCTTTCTTTTTCTTGTTTTGTGAAATCTGATCTTCATCTTTCATCTTTTCTCCATTTGCTTTCTCTATCATTTACAATATTTTTCTCAATCCTCCATGACTCATGCCTGTTCATATATCTAGATTAATGGTTTATGCTTTCATCTCTCGGCTCTTAGAGCGCCGCACATCCCTCTGCTACAAGACGCCACCATCAAAACAACAAGCCCACTTTTATTTGTCTCCAATGATAAATCTGACATTCTTTCTCTACATAATATTTCTTTTATCTTTGTATACCATGATTTATCCTTGTCAAATTAAATGCTTTCACGCATCTTTTGTTCTCATGATCAAGTATTTATAACAATGGAAATTATAATTGCTTTTTATTTATATTCTGGAAAATTACTCTATATTCATTTTAGATTTTTAATTATACTTAATTAATCTATTATATTTATATAGCTTCAATCTTCATTAAGATGTTTGGGCGATAGGTTAATAACAAAATATAATCAGTATATATATATATATATATATATATATATATATATATATATATATATATATATATATATATATATATATATATATATATATATATATATATATTTATCATTTTCAGATTTTAACTTCGGGTACCCTGTGCCCCGACTCGGGAAAGTCCTAGTTATCCGGGTCGCAGTTTCAGATACCCGGATTTGAACACCCCTAGGTGGAAGTAGGGTGGTCGTGCAACATTCTGGCCTTTAGGGTTTTTTTTAAAAATTTTTTTTTTAACTTTCTAATTTTTTTTCCTAATTTTAAGAATATGATATAAACTTATTAAAAGTTGACACGTAACAACTAACTTAAGAAAAGTGGTTACCAACTGGTCAAGGATTGTTAAAAGAAGATTAGGGTAAAATGTGGGATAGTTTTGGAATAATCAAAATATGGGATTGTTTTAAGAAGATCAAGCAAAGTTGAGAGTTGGGTTAACTGGAACAGGGGAAGGGGCTAGGTATCCGGCCTGGGGTGGGGTGTGGTGGGAGAGGTGACGGTTGGTTTTTTTTTTTTTTTTTAAACAAAAATAGTACCATCTAAAGATATAAATTTTAAAAATCCAAGACAACAAATAAAACCCTTAAATTGTACCATCTTAAGCTGAAGAATAATGCACAATTATGCGCTTTGGTACTACTCGTAACGGTGGAATTCAGTTTGCACAAGAACGCATCGTTGTCTCCCATGTCAATAGAAATCTTCAAAAATCCAGTAAATTACCAAGTCAATTAAAATCCAGTAATTTTGTAAGCTCAAATTTCGCCTGGCCTATCAAAAAAATAAAAGGTATTCAATAAATAACACTTACAAATTGAAATTTTAGTGAGTATAGTTTTTAGAGTTTTTTTTTAACTAACACAGTGCTGAAACTGTACAGAGAAATAAAATAAAATCATGGGTATCATACAAATAACTATTTTTTAAACTTACCGCCAGTATTTTTTCAAAATTAAAAAATACCACTCCTTAAAGTCAAAACAAGTAGATATCGCCACATTTTTCCTATTTCGACCATTTTTCCAACTTAGGGTACACGTGTCTTCACATGAATGGTAAAAAATTAAAATACAAATCAACAAATGTATAAAAAAAAAAAACCTAACCCAACCCCTGGCAGCCACCCCCCCTCCCCCTTCTCCTGCCACCCCACCCAAACCAGCCTCCTGGCACACCACGCCCCACCCCAACCAGACACTACCCCCCTGCTAGCGAACCCCACCAAGCCCACCCCTGCTCGCGAAACCCCGACCACCAAGCCCCCTCCAATTTTGTCCCTGATGTTTCCCGCTTTCTCTCTCCTCATAACCCTAGATTTTTAGGTGTCCTAGAATGTTCACCACCACTCTTCACCCCAGAATCATCTGAATTGTCTCATTTCCTGTCGATTTACACCGGAACAATCACCGCCGACGACTCATCTTCATCAGGTATCTAGTCTTGACAGTGGCGGACCCAGGATTTTCCGACTGGTGAGTCACAATCGATAATCAAATATGTAAATTTTTTTTTTTACCAAACAACCAAATAATAGTACTAAAAAATACATCCAAATATTCAAACAGTACAAAATACAACCACCCCACTTCTCCTCCATTGTACTCTACAGTAGAGCTACATGTAGTGAATCCATCCGACGCAACTGCAACACCCAATTCAGAAAAATTCACCTTTAGGGCAAAACATAAACACAAACACAAGTTATCCAACACTACAAAACACAAGAAACCCACCAAAATTCAGCCACCATTTTAACAAATTCAACAAACCCATCACTCAAAACATAGAATTTCAACAAACCCACAAAAATTCACCACTAAAAAAGCAAGAAATTGAAGAAAATTAGTGATTATACACAACAAACATGGAGATGAATTCTGGGTATTTTGAAGATGAAGGTTATGATCTTGGGGTTGATACTCGTGAATTCTGAACTCGTTGAAAAGAACAGTAACAGTAATTAAAAGCATAAAGATAAGAGAAATAAGAGGTAAGTGAGACCTTCTCCTGCTCCATTTCCAGCCTTGCACCATAGCTGCTGAAATGTAAGGAGAGAGAAAGTGAGAGGGAAGAAGTAGTAGAGATTCGAATGTTGGATTATGCGACTATGCGAGAAGCCACGAAGAGGACGGAGTCCACGACCACCGACGTCCGACCACCAGGCGATTAGGCGAAGAGAACGGTGGCTTCCTGGCTGCCTGGCTGGGACGAAGCGAAGAGGCGAACTGAAGAATGGAGATGAGGCGAAGTCGCGAAGAGAAGAAGGCTAGGGCTTGAAGTCTTGAACTGAATTCGTGTTTGGTTTTTTGGGGAAAACTGATTTTAATTTTTTTTTTTTTTTTTTTAAAATAACTTAAAAATTTTTTTTGGGCCTGGTGAGTCACTTGACCCACCAGGTCTAAGCCCAAGTCCGCCACTGAGTCTTGAGGGGGAAGGGAGGGGGGCCGGCAACAGGGAGGGGGTGCCAGAAACGGAGACGGGGAAGGGAGATGGCAAGGATGGGTTTGAGTTTTTTTTTAATTTAATTTTGAACATTATGTGGGCTTTTAAGTTGGAAAACTGACCAGAATAAGAGTAATGTAGTGATATCTACTGGTTTTAACTCTAAGGGGATTATTTTTTAATTTCGAAAAAAACGGATGATAAGTTCGGTGATCTGTTTTACAAAATATCTTTGAATTTATTTAGGAAAAAAAAATGTAATAGGGGTAAATTTGTAAATCAAGACATAGCCAACCAAAACCACATTTCTGATTTCTCTACTCCTTTATTACGTATCCAATCACCCCTAATCCCGCGTCCCCACTCTGCGTCAAACAGACGGTCTTACTTTTCTTTTCTCTCCTTTTTTTTTTTTCCTCTTTACCTTTTCCTTTCTATCATCAATATCATTTCCAGTTTCCCCCAATAATCATCCACAAATTACAGAAAAATCCCAGTTACAATATTAATTAATACTTTAAAAAAACAATATTCTCACTTCTACAACTTCGTTGATTCTTACTCTGCAAAAAATTGGTAGTTGCAGCCATTGATTCAATTGCTTTAAATTCCCTCTTTCCATTAAATACACTCACAGAAATTTCTACGGAGCTGAATTTAATGTTGTAGTTGATCTTCTCAACGGCTTCTTACAAGCGCTTTTACTTCTCCGTCACTCGAAAGTATCGAATATTTATCATTCCATATTTCTCTGAAGAACCCAAAATTTGAACAATATAGAGTTGAAGACGAAGATTTAGATGATGTTGTTGCTTTATAGACTGATAATTTTTCTGGGTTTTTGTTTTCCATTAGCAAAATCGATCGAAAATTCTTTAAATTGCAGCAGATCATGCCATGGTAAAACAGTAAATTACCCATTTGGATTCTCTCATGATTGCGAGTTTCAATTGGATTGTAAATCCGACGGGAAAATGGAGTTCAAGGGTTTTGATATCAGAAATTTAACATGGAATTCTATTCTACTTAATCTCTCTCCAAATTGCAGTCGTCCGATGAATCAAACCCAGCAATTATTTGGAAGAAACTACGCTTTAACTGCTCAAAATGGGTTGCTTCTACAAAACTGCAGTACGCCTTTAAATGGGTGTGTAATTCCGGCGATTTTGATTGAGGGTAGGTTTAATCAGTGTGAAAAGAGGAGAGAGAATATGAGTTGTTATGCTGCTGAACACCCGATTGGAGGAGGTGGGATTTTAAGGTACGAGGATGTTAGTAATACTGGTTGTCAATCTTTGTTTTCGTCGATTGTTATCGAAAATTCTGTCGCCGGAGATAGTAGTTCCGATGCTTGGTTGGAGTTTCAAGCTGTTCAGGTCAGTTGGTGGCTTACCGGCACGTGCCGGTGTGATCGGAACGCTAATTGTAGTACAGTTGGAGCTTCCGGGTACCGGTGCCAGTGTAATCCTGGTTTTTACGGTGATGGGTTTGTCAACGGCGATGGTTGCACTTGCCGCAATGGTTAGTGGTTATATTAATAAACTTTATATTATATTCGCATTTCATGGTTATTGTTAAATATTGTTATTTATATTGTTTTCATATGATTTGTTTTGATAATAATGATTGATGTATTGACAAGCGTGAAAAGTTGTGGAAGTTTTGCGAGTATTAAGAACCGGAGGAGGTATAATTAGGTTATCCATTGATTTTGTTTTATGTGTTGCGAGTTGATGAGGTTGGGTGTTTTTTGAGTGGTAATGAGCAGCTGAATTGCTATAGTCATAGGAAGGGATTGGACAAAATTGACCAAGGTTAGATTAATAAAATGAGGATTTTGCGTCGACCGCCTAATAGGATATGATAATTAGTTGTAGATGCATAAGATATGGTAGTAATTGAAACCATTGAAAAGTTTCTTTGAAGGTGATTTCTACGAAGTTGATGGGTTACTAAAAGCACATGGACCGGGTTTGGTGTATAGTTGTTTAATTAATTGATTAATACGTTGTAATATATTGTTGGGGATTGACATTAGCAAATGATTTATTTTGAATAGTCAAAGAGAGCCATGAATGTTCAAAAATGTGGGGATTCATTCATGTACTTTTATCATTGACTATAACCTAAGATATGAAAACATTTTGATATCGTTATTACATATTATTATAGTTATGTTCCGTGGGCTACTTCACCTCTATTGACTTTTCGTCGGATGTGTAATGTATTCCAGCCATATCCAAGGGAAAACAAAAAAAAGATAGGATAATAGAAAATGAATTAAGTGCCAGTTTGGTTTGCTTAGGATGAAGAGGATGGGTTTTGAACATTAAACAATGTATACTAGCTCATGAAGTCTTTGTGCAAAAGTCTGTTTAAGTTTGATTGTGTTGTCTTGTAGTGGCAAAAAAAGCCCTGGTGCAATCAAATAATTTTTATGGTCCATGGCATACTTGTTTGGAGTAGGGACCCAAGAATTTTCTTATATGTTACGTTCAAATTTTTAGGGGTTATTTTCAGGACTCTTAAGTGAAGAAATGTCAAAAACAATATCATTGGGTTAAAAATTTATTTGGGTTTGACTGTGGACTCTGGTTAATATCACTTGAGCTGATAATCTAGTTACCGAGGGGTAATTTAGAGTATGCAGTGAGAAGAATTGAACTGTCACTTATGACTAGAACAAGATCATATAAAGGGCGGGGCAGAATGAATCATTCGTATGTAATTTACATAGAATGCCTGAAACTGTTGATGTATTGATTAATGCATCGGTAATGCACGTGTTTTCCTTGATTTCCATATCATTTAAAACCACATATGTGATAATGAGCTGTGATGGAAAAAAAGTACATGAGATATAAAATGCGTCAGACATTCAAATGGGGCATGGCAGGTAAAACTATACACGCAATTTTGTTCCTTCAATAATGTGTAACTAAATGTCTAAATGAGAGTGCATGTTTGTAAATCTAGAAAAATTGTTGCACTTGCAATTGCCCCAACCGTTTTCGGTTGTGTTGGCTGTTAGCACTTAGCAGCTTGTCTTAAAGACCGGCTCTTTCTTGTTCAAGTAAAAATATTTATTGAGGTAGTGGAGAAATAAGGAAACAAAAAATGCACACCATTTTATCTGAGAGACAGTTTTTTTTTATGTGAACATAGGATAGTGCAGGGGCTGGTCTAATGGAAATTGGAAAGTAAAAAGGAATAGAAAACTCAATCCAGTTTGAATAGAATAAGTTTTTTTTATTTAACTCATGGGGATTTGAGCAGCAAGATAGCATGAGAAATTGGTTGCTGGATGGGATTCCCAGTGAATTACAAGATACTTATAATGTATGTTTTTTTTCCCTTTATATCCATGCTGTCATTATTGGATTCGGTGAATGCTTCTGAAACCTCAACCTCATCAGGTTAGAGTGGCTCCTGGATTGATAAGTGGTTTAATTTGGGGGACACTTCCCCGGACCCGGGCAATTCCAATTTATGAAGGAAAAAAAAAAAAACCATACATGCTGTCATTATTCTTATTCATGACATTTGCTTACTTGTAATTCATTTGTAAAATCATACTCTATCTTTTCCGAAGGGGAAATGTTTTGATAATTAGTTGGACTTGAGATTGTTGGTTTTGGGTTTATATCTTTTATAGTTTGGCACTTTGGCCTTGATAAATTGGCATATTTTTTTCCCTTTACTAACATGAAATTCAAGATAAATATTACCGAAGTATGTGTCTATGTTTGTTACATCTTAATATGTGCGCGTTCAATTGGTTGTGTTATCTGATGTTCTTTTCTTTGGTCTCTGAATAGATTCAGCTGCAGTCCTTCACAAAGATGGAACTAAAATTCCTGTTCTTATTGGAGGTATTCCATCTACACATCGGCATTTACATAGTCTATGTTATCATGTTACTCTCTTTTTGTCTTTCCAGCTTCATTGACAGTGAATAGTTAAATTTGTGGGCATCTGCTACAATCTTGATCTTTCTTGTACAGACATATTTGTACCTTTTGCCAATATCTACATAGTACATACTCTTTAGGCTTAAGGACTACGGCACTAGTATGTCTTTTAGAGAAAATCATTAGCCAGATCATTCTATTGGTCATTTTGTGGACTTCGTATTACAGTGAGTCAGTGAGGCTTTATTACAACATATCTTTGGCATAACACACAATGCAGTGTTACACACACACAATGCAGTGCTTGTTTCTATTCATCCTGATCTTTTTATGTCTCTCCATATTCACTTTTAAAGTGGCCAAGTGATAGCATGTTAAATCCAAGTCTAGGCCACACCCGTCACCAAGAGAGTCCACTTTACAAGACCAAAGGAGGTTCTATCCCAAAACCATATGGCAATAGGAGTGACCCCTTAGTCTTATAAAGTGTTTAACTCTCTTTTCTTTTCTCAATGTGGGACACTTACATGTGTTGTTCGGGAAGTTTTTACTTCAATATAGCATGTTTTTATTTTTTTATATATTAAAATGAAACATATCATGTACAACTGCATTTCTGATTTTGTTGCATCTTTTCAATGTTGAAAAGGCATTGCTGCTGGTGCTGCTTCCATGGCAATCCTGGCTGGTATTTGCTACTTTTGTCGGCATCGTTCTGCTCATCAGAAAAGTCGGACAAGTGCAAGGCATCTTCTTTCAGATGCTGCTGGCAACACTCCTGTTCCTCTGTACCCTTACAAGGAGATTGAGAGAGCCACAAATGGCTTTTCTGAAAAGCAAAGGTTAGGCACTGGTGCATATGGTACAGTTTATGCTGGAAGACTTCATGACAATGACTATGTGGCTATCAAAAAGATCAAACATCGGGATCCTGATAGTATAGAGCAAGTCATGAATGAGATTAAACTCCTATCCTCTGTCAGTCATCCAAACCTTGTCCGTCTTCTTGGTTGCTGCATAGAGGGTGGCGAACAGATACTTGTGTATGAATATATGCCCAATGGAACTCTTTCTGAGCATCTGCAGAGAGAGAGAGAAAGTGGAAAGGCCCTTCCTTGGACAGTACGCCTTACCATTGCTTCAGAAACTGCCCAGGCAATTTCCTATCTTCACTCTGCTATTCATCCTCCGATATACCACAGAGACATAAAATCAAGCAACATACTCCTAGATTTCAAGTATCAATCAAAGGTTGCAGATTTTGGTCTTTCTAGACTGGGGATGATGGAATTATCGCATATTTCAACTGCGCCTCAAGGGACTCCAGGATATGTTGATCCTCAATACCATCAGAACTACCATCTTTCTGACAAAAGTGATGTTTACAGTTTTGGGGTAGTTTTAGTGGAGATTATAACTGCAATGAAAGTGGTGGATTTTAGTCGGCCTCATACTGAGATCAATTTGGCTGCCCTTGCTGTTGATAGGATAGGAAAAGGACGCATTGATGAGATAATTGATCCATATCTTGAGCTGCACAGGGATGCTTGGACTCTTGCATCTGTTCACAAGGTGGCAGAGCTTGCTTTTAGATGTTTAGCCTATCACAGAGATATGAGACCAACAATGATGGAAGTTGCTCATGAACTAGAGCAAATAAGGCAAAGTGGGTGGGCCTCTATGGAGGAGAATGTGTGCATGGCATCATCGGTTGCATCTTCTTGTTCCTCGCCATTTAATGGGAGCGAGAGATCATTCGGTGGTTTATCAATGAAGAGGGTAGTAGGAAGCCAGAGAGTTGTTGTTCCACAGAAAGGTATAGATCATCTGGCTTCATTGGAGGAGGGAAAAGATAGTTCACCTGTATCGGTTCATGATGGTTGGTTTAGTGAACAAAGCTCACCTTCAACAAACAGCTTGTTGGGTAATGTAATTCAGTAAGCCTGACTAAAATAAGTAATCTTGACTCTGTCATCGTACAATGTGCATAAACTAGTAAGTTTTTAATAGCCCGTATTGTTTTCCTTCTTATTGTCCACCCAAGGCGGTGGTACATATGTAGAACTGTGAAGCAATTTAAACAAAGTTTACACATTATAGTTTAGGATGTCTGCTGTATATGTCAAGAAATCATTTATCTGTGCGACTGTGTCCCCTTACAATCTTATGATCCTACCACAATTTTTGGCCCTAAAGTTATCTATTTTATGGAATTTAAGTCCCCTTTGAGCTGGCTTATAATGATGGCATAAATGATTTCCATATCTGGTTCTTTCTAAAGGGTGAAAACTCTTACGAACTGCAGAACAGGGGACTATTTATTTGGGGCATTAGTTGATAGTCTCTACTAGTTAATTGTAAATCTCACTAGACTACATTACTTTTTATGTAATTGATTTATATAATCAATTTACAAACTCTCATTCTGAATTCTCCGATCTGCCACTGTTTTTTTTTTTTTCCTTCTAATCTTGGCAAAATAATTCTGACCGTATTGCCGAAAGTCACAGGGCTCACAGGCGGTGATTTTCTTCTTATACTGAATTTTAAGTTCTGTAGCCACTTATTATCTTACCGGACAAGGCCTAGTTTACAATGCTAAGATCTAAGCGCAGGGCTTTACGTATAAATTTTTAGCCCTCAGGCAAATCTGTGTCTGTCAATAAGGTAGTTTATTAGGCCTGTTACAAATTACTTTCAAATTATAAGATCATATATCAAAATTGTCAAACCTTTTGGTCTAATTTATGATAGTGTTCGGGTCAGAATACCTTTTAGCCGGCTTTTAGTCGTAAAACTGTGTACAGTATGTAAAATTGAATACCGAATTTCTGGTCGGTTTGGTCTGTTTTAGCAGGCCGGCCAAACTTAAATAAGCTTGAAGCAGCTCGTAAAGTGTCAACAAATTATTTCATAATTCATACAGAATATGCAAGAAATCTTGAGGTATCAGTTTGAAAGAAATTCTTTAATCACATCAGCTAATCTGATGGGGATGTTTGCTATCTGTCTCATTATCAACCACAAGCGAATATGATCAAAGTAAATCAAATGGAATCCGAATAAATTCAATTACTTAAGTAGCTGAAATTAGTGATATACCGTTTGTAATATGTTGGCAGTAACATTACAAGTTTACAACTCTCATACAGTAAGTAGTATTACAGTACTGAATTTTACTAACACTGACAAAAATCAGGTTTTTTGAGGCTGAGAACCCAAAATGCCATTAACAATAGAAGTAGCAATTAGTACCCCTAAAAATTCAGCTCCAGCAACTACTCCAGCTTGAGCTAACCCACTAAAACTCACACTCTCAGCTGCACTTTCAATCCCTTTTTCAGCAGCTACAACTCCCTTCTCAGCTGATTCGATACCTGACTCGACAGTGTCGATTCCTTTCTCGACTGTTTCGAAGCCTTCCTTGACTATCTCCTCTGCCTTCTCCTCTGCTTTCTCCAGCTTCTTTCGCAGGCCGAACAATGGAATGTCCTTGGCATTGGCAGATGGCAAGTTGACTGCTGTCAGCACCGTCGTTGCGGTGAAGATAAGGCAGCCTCTACGGCTAGCTGATTGTATATGCGCCGTTGCGCGTGGTGGGGTGGTGGTGGTGGTGGTGGTGAGAGAGTTGCGGACTAATTGATGGGGATGAACGAATGAGGCTGTGGACGCCATGGTTTTTCCTGCCTTATTTTCTTCTGGTGGAGTTGTGTTGGTGGAAAGGAAAGTGAAATGGCTAATAATTTTTGTGGTTTAAAAGTGTATTGAGTTGCCTCAAGTTGAGGATATCATTTGCCCATGTCTACTAGTCTTGTAGTGTAAAAGTATTACGAGTATATTTTAATAATAACTTTATTGGGACGAATCAAATAAGAATTAATATGATCGTTATATTTTACCTATTTAGAGTAATTCAAAAGATTATTTAATCTTATTAATGCTGCCACAGATTATTTAATCTTGTTAATACTGTCACGATTCCAAATGAAAAGAACATAAAGGAACGGATAGAGAATTTTTTTTTCACAATATTAAAAACTCATGCTTAAAAAAAGAAGGAATATAAAGTGTTTTCCCATAAAACTCACTCGGTGCTACCGTGTGGTTGGGGTTACATATTCAGAGGTTACTTATTTAGGAGTTACTTAGTTGGTTAAGGGTTACTTATTATGGGTTACTCAGTCGGTTAGCGCGTTTTTACTAGAGTTACTAATTCAGGGGAAATTTATTTAGGGGTTACTCAGTCAGTCAATGGTTACTTATTATGGGGTTATTCAGTCGGTTAGCGCGTTTTCTGTGTGAGAGTAAATCTAATCGACCGAGTAACCCTTGACTAAGTAAACCCTGACCGACCTAGTTCCCTTGAATAAGTAACCTCTAATCGACCGACTAACCCCTGAATAGATAATCCCGGCCACACAATGTTGCCAGCCACATATAAAAATTTGTGAAACTCAATTTTATAACGTGATTTATTTTTTCTGCAAAATTTCCATTTTTATTGAGGAAAATTTCCAAATTAATAAAACAATTTTTTCTTCCTAGAATCTCTCCCATTAACCTTACCTTTTTATTATTATTATTTTTTTTCATGCGAAGAACCTTACCTGATTTCCTTACTCTAGTATAATTTCAAAAAAAGAAAAACAAAAACAAAAACAAAAAAAAAAAGGAAAAGGGAAGAAAACCCTAATTTCCTTTTGATCTGTATCTATAAGTACTTAGAAAACAATAAATTAGCACCAGCCAAAATTGTCGTTACTCTTCTTCCAACCCAATATACGTGCAATGCTATTATGGATGTAGAGGTCGTCATGGAAAAAAAGCCAACCACAATCAATGATCTTGTTGACAAGTTATTGATTGAGATTTTTGTTAGACTTTTCTCTTATGAAACCATAATTACAAGCAAATTTGTATGCAAGCGTTGGTTATTTCTACTATCCAACCCTAAATTGTGATTCAATTCCTTAACCACAAAAAAAAGCAACAACCCCCCTTACAAAAGCTACCATGGACCTTTCTAGGCTTTTATTCTACGATACGACTCAAAACCAATGATGATGTCTAGGGGTGCTAATTGAGTTGAGCAACTCGCAAGCAACTCGAGATTGACTCGGTCAACACTCGGTCAAAGCTCGACTCGAACTCGACTCGACTCGAAACCTAAACGAGCACGAATCAAGCAAGGCATAGCTCGACTCGATAATATTTTATTATTAAAATATTATGTAAAAATTTATATAAAAAGTAAAATCACGTGGCATATACAAAGAAAAAAAAATGTAATTCACTCCTCAGTAATTAGTTAATTACTAGTAGTAGTTTCCAAACTTTCTACTACTCATTCACAAAGAAAAACAAAAACCCTAAAGGCCTAGACACTTACTCCATCTAGCCGCTACTGTACGCACTCAACCCTCCTTCAAAATTTTCTCAAATCTCTTTTCTATTATTGAAGAAGGAAGTAGAGATCAAGATCGACAATTTTGACAAAGAACAAGCTTTTAATATATGGCAGGTGCGTTTTATTACCCTCTTTTCTTGTAGATCTGTAGTTGTTCTTGTAGTTTTATTAGATTATTGATAAAATTTATTCATGTAGTTGGACAATTTTTTATGTTCTTGAGAAATTAGATGATTAATTTGGGTGATTTTTAGCTAAAATTTACAATTAATTGGGCGTTTGATTTTGTGTGGAAATTAAATTCGTTTACCCAATTAATTTGGGTGTTTCTAGTGTTTGCATATTATGAAATCAGAATCATTTCCTTTTTCCTAGGTTTGTGATTTCGTGACTTTGCAGACCACCACCACCACCACCACTACTCATTCACAAAATAAAACAATCACTAATCTCATTGACTATCTTTTGTTGATTTTTAATTTCATTATGATAAAATATGTTATTAGATCAATACAATAATTTGTTGTACTATCATTTCAACTTAATACTATTATTTTGATTGTAGAATAACTTTGGAGAAGAAGAACCAAAAGAAATCATTCTTCCAATTTCCTAATACTGAGGTATTGGACTTAATATCTAAGTTTTTACATCTTATATATAAGTTTATTATTTATTAATTTGGATTTGAAATATATTATTTTTTTGTAGGATATTGGAGAAGATTGCAGGAAGAATTTGCAACAAAGACAAAGTGAAGAAAAGAATGATTCCCTGTATTCATTTTCTTTGGTTACTTTGTTTGATGTTCTAATTGTTTGTCGTGTAAGAACTTGAATTTGTAATACGTAGTACAATTTTTCTGTTAGATTTTATTTGGTAGTTTTTAAAAAATTATAAATGCAAAAAATAAGTAGTTTTTATTAGATGAAAATATTAGATAGTTAAGTTACAATTAAAAAAACAGAAAAATTAAATTAGACGAGCTGATGACGAGCCGAGCAATCTAGTTTTTTGAGTTAATGAGCTGATTCGAGCCTTTGCAGCTTAACGAGAGTAACGAGCATTTTCGAGCTCGAGTCGAGCTACAAAAAAAAACGACTCACGATCACGAGTCGAGCACTAATTTAACAAGCTTAAAGAATAACGATCACGAGTCGAGCACGAGATATAGTTTTCGATCACGAGTCGAGCATTTCCTAGCTTATGATCGACTCGTTCGATTAGCACCCCTAATGATGCCGATGATAACTCGATGGAGACTAATTCCCTGAATCATAAGGTATTTAGTTCTCCTAAATATAATCTCAACTACTGTCTTCCTTGTCCGGTTAAGGTTGTCGCGACATTCAAGGACTTAGTATTATGTTTAGATCTTAATAATCATAAGCAATATTATATATGCAATCCGCTAACAAAACAATGGGTTGCTCTTCCCTTGACTCCTTCGCCTCATGATCCCGAGCTCTCTTGGGGTGCTTTGTTGTGTGAAGATCCTTATTATAATGACTACGAAAGTTGTATCGATTATAGGTTTAGGGGCCGTTTGGTTGACAGAAGGGAATCGGAATGGAATGAACAAAGGGAATGAAATGGAATGGAATGGCAAAGTGGAAAATTTGGAAGGTTGTTTGTTACAAAAACCAGGGAATCATTCCCTCCACCACAGCACCACCACCACAGCGCAGCTCCGACCGCCGCCGAACCCTCACAGACCTCCGCCGACCGTCGTCGACCCATCCCCGACCGTCGACGACCGTCGCCGACCATCCAGCCCCCATCGCCGACCGTCAAACTCCCTCCCCGATGCTCCAGCCCCCCTCCCCGTTGCTCGAACTCCCTCGCCGACAGTCGCGCCCCCCTCGCCGACAGTCGCGCCCCCCTCGCCGACAGTCGCGCCCCCCTCGCCGACAGTCGCGCCCCCCTCGCCGACGGTCGCTGACCCCTCGCCGACCCTCCAGCCCCCCTCGCCGACGGTCGCTGACCACCACCGACCACAGCACCACCTCGAACTCCCTCCCCGATGCTCCAGCCCCCCTCCCCAACGCTCGATCTCCCTCCTCCACCACAGCACCACATCGCCGACCACTCCCCGGTGCTCGCCGAGCCTCCCCGACCACTCCCCGGTGCTCGCCGACAGTCGCCGTCCGACCACCACCGACGTATATGGGTGTTAGTGTTAGGGTTAGGGTGGGTGGGGAATGGAATGGGAAAGTGGGGGGGGGGTGGGGAATGGGGAAGAGGGGTTTTGGGGTATTTTGAAAAATGAAATGGGAGAATGATTGAGGGAAAAAGTGGCAAACAAACAGGTTGAAAGGGAATGATTCCCATTCCCTTTCCTGAAACCAGCGAACCAAACGCACCCTTAGGGTTGTGGTTGTTTATCCTATACCCAAGGGGTACCATATAAAAGAGGATGATCCTTTCAAAATTTTCAACTTGATTGTTTTTTGTTCTGAGAATTTCCAATGGAAAAATATTGATCTCAAAGTGTCGTTGCCTCCGAGGGTGTGTACCTATGATTCATATGATGAGCCTTTTCTAGGTTTGCTTTGTAAGGGGATGGTTTGTCTTCGCTATGCTTCATATTTTGGAATGTTCAATCCATTCGATGTCACTCCTAATTCAAGTGGCATTCTTGATGCAAGAATTGTACCATTACCTTATCTAGGAAAAGCCCTTTTAGAATGTGAAGGTCGATGATTTTAATCTTAGATTCTTCGTTTTACCCTATTTGTGATAGTGATGGAGATAAGGATATGTATAGGGATAGGGATAGAAAGCGGTCCATCCCTGAATTTGATTCCAATTCTTTGTTGTACTGTCCTAGGGCTAATGATAGAAAGCGGTCCGCCTCTGAATTTGATTCCAATTCTTTGTTACACTACCCTAGGACTAATGAAAGAAAGCGTAGGGCAATATCATTGACAAATGTAGAGCTGGATCTCAACCAAATACTCAAGGAGAATAATAATGAGGTAGGCTGTCGTCTAAGCAAGATTTTCATAGAGTATTGTGGCAAGGGATCAAATTCAAGATGGTGTTTAAGTCGTGTGATAGGGATGCACCCAAGTAATAAGTGTTTTGGTAACTGGTGAGGATGAGGTGCTTTTGTGCGATATGGGGTCAAAGTCTTGAAGTCTTTGGGTACATTGCTTCCGAGTTTTTTAGAGTCGTCCTGCTGGCCTACGCCAAAACTTGAGCTCCAATACTGGCCAACTCCAGTTCCTACAGTCCTCTAATCGATCTTATATACATTAATGCGAAGGTAAATGGTTGATACTTCCCATGTTCAATCATCATACTCTTACATATCAGTTTATTACGTCTTATTATATTTGAAGTATTTTTTTGAGGAAACATTTGATACTGTAATCAAACTCTTTTATGAATTATTGTTTCTTGTTTCTGCTATATAATTGTCATTATCTGAAATCTACAAGTATATTGCTTTTGGTTCTTTCTCTAATTAGTCAAATAGCATTGTTGTTAGACTGTAGATGGGAGTGGGTGATTTTTGCTATTGTTTCTTTTTCATATGTGTTTACAGACTTTACACACATGGTACGCGTGGAAAATATTATGGGTGTGGAATCCTTAGGAAAGTGATTTTATATAGCCTTTTATGGATGTATGTAACCAACATTAAAAAAATTCATATTCAACATTGTAAAATGGCTATGTGATCAATTTTTTTTAAAGTACCAGATGGGTAAATTTCCCTTATAGGTTGTAATAAATATATAAAAGTTTGAACAATAATGTAGGACAAAGCCGAAAAACTTACAAGATTGCCAACTATTGCGGCTCTTCCCTTCACCTGGTTTTATTAGTTGATTGGTAGTAGTTTTTGTACCGGGTCTTTGCCCACTTCTGCACCCAAAAAAAAAAAGGTATGATTATGTACACAAACACAATATCTTTGATTCATAGAAACTTTATAATTATAAAGTTTGAAATGCATATATATTCATGTGTTGATTCATTAAGGGACATATGTCAATTTCCTAATAAAAAATTTTCCGCATAAACTATTTTTGACATCATCTTTTTTTTTTTTTTTTCCCTCCAATATTCCAAAACTAAATAAATACAAATATACAATACTTCATTCAAACTTAATTAATGAGATTATGATCACACTTTTTTCGAATATAAAATTGACAACTATTTAAACAAATAATAACTACTTAATTCAGGCAACGAACAGGGCTAAACTAGTTTTGACCTAAACTAAATATCACTTAAATTCTTGACACTATTGCTAATATTGGATTTTTATTTTTATTTATTTATTTTTTATTTTTTTTCCAACTTGAATGTAATATCAATCCTTGAGGAATGAACTTCCATATTTAACATATTACGAGTCAATGTGTTTTTCAAGATCCGAATTTTTTGCAATGGTCTGGCAAAATGTTATTAGCTACTACTGTGCCTACTACATTGTTCTTCACCAAGAGACCTATGCAAAACAATAAGATCCGTATTTCAAATCTTTGTTTTCATCCAGTAAGTCACTTGATGTTACATTTTTATTCATCAAAAAAGAACCCACTTCTCATGACATAAGGACTGTTCACAAAATCACAATCAAGTAAAAGAAGTCCCGTAAATTTCAATCCTTACAATTGCAATTCTAAAAATCAATTATGTACGTACCTTGAGGATTTGAGGTAAAAGATATTTCAGTCTACCATCATGTAGGATTTTGAACTTGGGAGGGTAGAAATCCGTCTCACAAATAGTCGTTAGTCACGTGATATATCACTATTAGATCTATCTTCATAACAAACTGATCAAAGTGTTTGGGAAGGCTCAGAAATGTAGGTTTCGGTGGAATTCTGTGCTGAAAATCCATACCATATGTCTCTAGCACTAGGGGGCTGCCCACATTATCAACAATATGCCGAATATGTGCTTTGAGGTATAGTAGACTTCCTGATTGTAAGCAGTCTAGAACAGTAGTTTCAGCAATCCAACGATAGTCATATTCATCAGGTGTTCCCAAACTGCTTTCAACTCCCGATGGCATCTTAACAAAGATACCAATTGTGAAGGCATCTAAAGGTGCAACGTAAAAGAAGTCAAGTTCATATTCATTCAGCCAACACCCAACATCATTATCAGCTGTCCACACTCCAGCAGGATCATACTCATCAGCCTTACTTAGAAAGTCCCCAACTCCAGAATCATTATCCGATGAGCTTGAGTCAACTAGCATGTCATCACCTTCCATCAGGTCTTTTTCTTCATTGTCAACATAACAAGGATTCAGCACGCTCTTCTTGACCTGCAAAGATTACACTCAAAAGGAAGGCACTTAGAACTGTACATATCTAGTCCCAACATATTATAATTGAAAAATTTACCTCAATTTGCAGCAGATTCTTCTTCTACAATGCATCATGCACTCCTGAAATACAGCACAAACCAAATACAGTACATCAGCTAAACAAGTAGATTTTGAAACCAATCAAAAGTTTACTGGCCTCTCCATCCATTTTATAAGTCAAAAGGACTCAGCATCCAAAACATAGATAAACTTATACTTATTAGTTGTGACACTTCAGTGAACTCAACAAGAAAATTACCTCTAGTAAGAAGATTCTCACTGAAAAAATTCACCAAAAGTAGGCCTTTCACGTTGCTGACATAGAATTTTGCGTAGCAAAGCAGCTTCTTAGTCTGCAGCAAGTGGTTTTAATTAGCAGTATAACCCAACATGGAAGTGGCCTTTCTTTATCCTAAGTCACGATAATTACCATCTTAGGGAACATTGGATCCAGCACACCATCGTGTTGTGATACAAAATGCTTACTACTCATGTTCCCATCTTTGTCTGTGCAGCCTCTGATGAATGGTGGTTCATAATCTATTGGCTGCAATTTAAGTTGTTTTCAAAAATTAAAATATATGCCATGAATAATCTTACATAGGAAAGGCATGTAGTAGCAGGGACAACGAAAATGCATATATATCAGAGCTATTGTTACCACTGTAAAACTAAGAATCGATTATTTTACATGTTATTACTTTTGTTTCCTGATATGTTATTGCAAGAATCAATGTCACCCGAAGAATGTAGTCAGTTTGCAGATGTGTTACTTCAATTGTTGTGAACTTCTAAAACTATAATCTTACCACACAAGGTTATGGATCTTGTCAACTTTTAAAAAAATATATCATCTTATGAGCTTAAGGATTTCCTCTGAAATAACTTTAAATTACTACATACTCAATGTGCATAATGACAGGCACAAACACAATAGCTCATACATGCAAACATGACCTAAGTAGAGGAGCTTTATCACAGTTGTGCACTGTAATGAGAAAGAAAATTATCAGAAGTATAAGTATTATATAAATGACAGAAACATGCCACATTTCATACTAGTACACTGTGATTACTTTGCTACTATTTTTTTTAATACCTTTTCTGGCATTTTGTCAAGAGTTCTCATCAGATGAACTGAAGTATGAATCATTTGGCAAATTGAACTCCTACAATATTTATAATAAATGAAATTAATAAGCCAATGTCAACATCAAAATAGGTAAGCTACTCCACACAATTAATCAGATCAAAAGGAATAATCTCAATAAACATAAGTTTGTAATTGTAAAAATTACTTCATTTCATTAGTAGAGTTGCCTTTGCAGTTCCTCCCAACCTTTTGTTTCCAATGCGATTGAAAATCATGCAGGTTTTGGTACTCTGAGCATTTGGGTAGCTAAAAGAAACTGCATCAACAATTGAAGATTGCTTAGCTAGAATTGTAGTCTAGTATGAGTAGTATCAATGAGTTCTTACCATCATAATTGAAATGTACATATGTTTATGGTGGCATTATAATGAGTAAATGACAAAGTCAATGTAATTGACTCATACTCTGATTGACTCCAGAAAATGCAGCTATGTTAGTTACTTTTTTAAGGTTGCCGAAGGATCTTACTTGCTTTTTCCTCAACTGTCAGATCATTAGTAGCCTCGCATATGCTGAACATAGTGAGCAATAATGTCCTTAGGTACTTCTGCAGTGCTTCATATGTGCCTGCAGAAATACAACACACCCAAGTTTATAAGCTACCGTACGCAAGTAGTAATATAGCCAATTCATAACAAAAAATAGCAGTCAAATAAGTTAGATGTTAAAATCAGAGTGTACTCTCCTTTTTCCATCCAATTTATCAGTCGAAGGGACTCAGCATCCTCTGGCATCAGCATCTTTATCTTCATGTCTGATGATTAACACTAATTTTCAAAACAAACATTATGTTACAGTGCCAGGTTATCATCTTTAGACACAAAAATGAAGACAACGGAAGATTACCTAAAGCAGGAACATTCTTATCATTGAAAGATTTCTCTGGAAATTGGCATCTTATGTAATGAAGCAAATTCATAATCTGAAATACAAGTATCTTTAATCAGAAATACTGGTTACACCTCCAAAATGCCCACCTAATTGAGGTCGTCAATCGATCACTTAATTAAAATATATTTCTCGTAGCACAGTAAAACTAGCAGAAGATAGAAATTAAAGAGGCTTGAAAATGGGACATTAAGCTCACATTATATCAATATATAATCAAATCTCCAGAATTAAGTAACACTTGTAACACAGTAGTTCAACTTCCACTAATATAATAATGACGAGGTACGATCTCCAAATATTCATCACAAATGCTTATCGAACAATGAATCCGTATGATTGATACAAATTCAAATTACAACTGAAATTAAACTTAATTCTCACAAAATCTATCACTTAACATTCAATTACGAATTTACGAGTACTTAGACATTTCTGGAAATACTTTGCATAAACAATAGCTCGCAAACTCAACGATAATAATGATATTAGCTGATGAAACAATTAACACAAGGATGAAGATAGCTTTTGATGATCACGTGCGTTGTAATAATACAAAATTAAACCCTAAGCTAAGTAGAAATTCAGGCAACGAATCATCAGAAACCCAATATCAACGGAAATTCATCCATAACACAATTAACACAAGGATGAAGATAGATTTTGATGATCACATTGTACTAATTCAAAAATTAACCATAAGCTAAGTAGAAATTCAAGCAACGAATTATCAGAAGCTCAAAAACAACAGAAATTCAATCGATGACTGAATTTACACAAGGATGAAGATAGATTTTGATGATCACATTGTTATAATACAAAATTTAAACCCTAAGCTAAGTAGAACTTCAAGCATGAAGTAACAGAACTCAAGATCAACGTAAATTCAATCGATTGAACAAACGATAGCAAATTTCATCAACGATTAAGCTGAGAAACTGACGTTTGAAATTTCAATTTGAAAGAAATTACCAGAACAGCAGATTGTTTTTGAGCCAATTCCTCTTCCTTCATCAGCTGTGCGACTACCTGAAACGAAAGGAGAAGCAGAGAATTTAACTCAGAGGTGTAAGAATGATCCGAAAACAGAGAAGTAACAAGAATGAATGAGGATTTTTGGAGAGAGAATGAGAGATGAACCGCCATGTTTGTGAGCTTGGAGAGAGAAACTTGCACTGCAAAATTAGAAAGGGAAGTGGAAGGTGGGTTTGAATTTGAAGGAGAGTGAAAAATGGTGAAATTGGGCTATATATAAGATCGCGGGAAAATTGGAAGAAGAGAATGTTCAACGAGTTTTTTGTTTTTTTTTTTCGAAAATGTTGAAGGAGTTTGCAGGAGTAAATTTTTTTTTTTTTTACAACATTTATTATTACGTGTGGTCCATGTGACCCAGTCACATACTCCTCTCTAATTTTATTTCGTCATATGAAATTTTGTTAAAATTGTCTTACTATTAAAATATTACTTTTACTTTTTGGAAAAAAAAAAAATTTACTTTTATTGAAACTCATTCTATTTGCTTTTTTTTGTTGGAATAAAACTCATTCTATTTATTTGATTTTCATTCATCTAAACATAAAAAGTTTAAGATTATAAAATTTGATCATAACACTTCCTTAATAAAGTCAATTTATGATCAAAATATTTTTGTTAGACCTAATGGACCAAATGCTAAAATAAGCTTCAAAGTAATTCTTATTTGAACTTGTTAGAGCTTATAAACCACACACACACAAATAAAATATAATAAAATAAAATAAAAATCTTATGAAATAGCTTAAAATAAGGCCCCTTTCACTTCACCTTATTTTTGCTATACTGAAATTATTTTACTGAATTGCAATTATTTTTGCTGAATTTAAATTATTTTTACTGATTCCCTATTATATTTTCTTCTTAAAGGTACTAATTTTTACTGAACTGAACTTATTTTTAATGAACTGAAATTATTTTCCGGATATTTTTTTTAAGGTGAAATGAACAGGGCCTAAGGAGAACATTATAGGATCTTCTCTCCCCGCTTGTGGACGTAGGCAACGACGCAACGCATTATTAGTGAACCATGCGTTGTTTTGAACCGGGTACATATTTTGCTTATTAGATGCAGCTCCACAAATGCAGGTGCACCACGCTTATACTTTTGAACATTTAGTAAAACAATCTGAACAATCGCAAATTTTGAACATTTAGTAAAAAAAATCTGAACATCACAAATTTTGGACATTTAGTACAAAAGTATGAACAATCGCAAATTTTGAACATGTAGTATATTAAATACAACACTATATAATAAACATCAATTTTTTGAAAGAAGTTTTTCTGACTCGTATTAATTCAATAATTTTGTAATATAAACTGAACATTTACTGCATATAAAATGAACATTTCTTTATAAATATTAACATATAAAATTGCATGGTTATTTTCAGTTTTTGTGTCGTGTTCATATTTTTTTTTTACTAAATGTTCATTTTTTGTAAAGTGTTCAAATTTTTTTTACTAAATATTCAAAAGTATAGACGTAGTGCACCTATTTCTAGGTGCACCATGGTGCACATAATAACTAGGAAAATACACTTTAATAATCCCAACTATGGACGATTTACTTCTAATAATCCCAACTAAGGTTTATTATCTAATAATCCTAAATATACTATGTGTTTGCCTCCAATGGTCTCAACCGGTCAACACCAAGTTTTAATAATCCCAACTAAGGTTTATTATCTAATAATCCTAAATATACTATGTGTTGCCTCCAATGGTCCCAACCGGTCAACACCAAGTCAACGACTTGTTATAGCAAGTGACCATGACATGTGTTAACACGTGATTGGTCCAAAATTAAAAAAAAAAAACCAAAACCCTTAACAGCCACCTCCTCCTCCCCTTCCTCACCCTTCCCCCATCGTGAAACCCTAAGCATATCCCCCAGCCCACCGGAAACATGCCGACGACCTCCCATAACCCCCTGAAAACGACCGCCCGCCTCCCCTAACCCCCAAAAACGGCTGGCTGGAGCAGATTTCACTCCAGGTGGAACACCATGATTTGATTGATGTATAATACAATTTTGAGGGATGGATTAAACTGAGGAACAATCATTGGAGGAGGAGCACCAACAAGTCGAAACGAAGGTGGAGCGGGTTGATCGGCGGCGGCTGAAATGGTGGTGCAGAGGTCGGAGTATGAGTTATGGCGGGCAACTAACGCGAGGCGGGGAAAGAAGGGAGGGGGTGGGGTTGGATTGGCTGGGTAGTTTAGGGTGTTGGGAGGGCCGGCCGGCTGACTTTGGGGGGTAGGGGAGGTCGTCGGCCGGTTCCTAGTGGGCTGGGGGATATGTCGAAGGTTTCACGGGCTCACAATGGGGGAATGGGGAGGGGGTGGCTGGGAATGATTTTTGGGTTTTTTATTTCTTTTTAATTTTTTTTTAAATTTTAGATCAATCACGTGCTAACACGTGACTTTTAAAAAACAAAAAAAAATTTTTACCCTTTTAGCAGGTAACCATTCATTGGGACTATTAGAGGCAAACACATAGTATAGTTGGGATTATTAGATAATAAACCGTCCATAATTAGGATTATTAAAGTGTATTTTACCGTAATAACTATTGGTTAGTTCGTATCTTAGCCAGACCAAACCAGCCAGCAATTTAGAAACCATTTCATATAAAACAGCCCAACAATTTAGAAACCAATTCATACATAACAGTCCATTTATCCCAAAAAAAGAAAAAAAAAAAAAAAAAAATGTGCGCTGATTGAAATCAATTTCCGTACTGTTTTTCCGCCACAACACAAACCAAAGGGTTTTGCATTTTCCCCCTAAATTTCTCTCTCTTTCTCTCTCCTAAATTTCTTGCCAATTTCCATGGCAGATGAAGCTTCAACCCTAACTTCTACATCAAAAATGGCGGAAGATGAACCAGCGCCTAATCAGTCTGAAACTACTAACGAGGGAACAATTCAGTCGAATGCGCAAGGGGAACACTCTGAATCATCTCTCATAAACCTTGAATCTTCTGAAATCTCTGCTGTAAATGATCATGAGAAGAGTCTGGAGTTTGCCGATGAGTTAATGGAGAAAGGAAGCTTGACATTTAAAGAAGGTGACTTCCCTGATGCTGCTGAACTTTTTAGTCGTGCCCTAGAAATCAGGTTAGGGTTTTAATTCTCTCTCATTTGAATTTGATTTTACTTAGAATATGTTTTTTATGTTTTTTTTTGAACAATGAATTGCTTGAAATGATTGTGCTTTAGGTATTTGATTATAGTGATGAAATTGAATGTTTCGAATTTTAGGGTTTTAGCGAATTTAGGGGATTTATTCTGGATTAAAGCAAGTAGAAAATGACTGATGATTTTGGACAGTAATTGGGGGTTTATTGTTTGTGGATGGCTGCCCCATTGCCCCTTTTGTTGCAAATGTAATTCCAGAAAAATATGTGCATTTGGTTTTGAGGTTATTCATTGCCCTTTTGATGCAGATTAAACAACTTATTAAGATAAGACAAATTATTAAAAAGATTCCCAAGCTGAATTTATGAGTTATGACTGCAATAAGCTCAGATTAGCTATAAAAGTTCAATGTGTTTGGTTTTTAATGATGATTCACTGCTTTAGTTTCTGCATTTGATTTTCTTAAGGAAAGATAAGGCACCGCCGGGGTGGGGGTCGGGGGGTGGGGGGTGGTGTTGGAGGAGGTCATCCCAGGAAAGATGCCCAATGGCGGATCCTCCCTCTCCTGCAATCTCTTTCTTATGATTGTAACTTGGAAATAAACCTGGGATATCCTTCATATTTTTGGCAGCATATACCTCTAAATTTCATGCTAAACAACATTTAAATTTCCAGAAAAAAATGCATCATATAGGATTTTAGTGGAACAAAATTTCTTTGTTGTTCCAAATGATTGAAGATTGCATATGTGCTAGCCTCCTTGACCCTGTCAACAATGTGATGCAGAGTAGATGTTTGCTGTTTTCATTTTGGTCTTTTGAGAAGCCTTTAGATGAATTGTAACTCTTTTCAGATAACTAGTTTGGAAACCTTACCGTCCTGTGTGTTTGTCTTTTGATGATTATATAACTTGACATCGGGTTGCTTTTCCTTTTACTACAACAGCGCAATGGTTTAACTTGCTTCAGAACTTTGCTGTCTCCAGTTGTAGTGATATTCTTGTACATATTTGGTTTAGCATTTACTTAGCTGCATGACTTGGGGTGCTCTGAATTTATGTCTTTGCTTATAAAAATCAAAATTGATGTACATTCATATAATCATATAAAGGTTAGTAATCTTAGTATGACCGTCTGTGTTGTTTTGCAGGGTTGCTCATTATGGTGAGCTTGCACCTGAATGCATTAAATCATACTATAAATTTGGCCTTGCCTTGTTGTACAAGGCACAAGAGGAGGCTGATCCCTTGGGATCTATGCCAAAGAAAGATGCTGAATCCCAGGAAGGTTCTAAGATTGAATCTTCAAAGAAACCTGTTGAGCGTGAATCATCCCTAGCTTCTGTTTCAAGTAATGCTGAGCAATGTGCAAGTTCAAGTCAACCTGCGAGTTCAAGTCAGCAGCAAGGCGCAGATGATGGTAACTCTATTAGCATGTCTGTGTTTGATAATTAATACTTTGCCTATAAAGACGCTAAAAGACTACCACCTTTGTTTCAAATAGTTGCATCATTTTGACTAGACACATGTGCCAACATACTACTTTGATTATTTTTGTCTTTCATAATGCTTTCATATTAAATCTTATTTTGAAAATATATAATGAGATTAACTCAACAACATTTAAAAAAAAATTATTTTGTCTATAAAGTCGCTTAAAGACTACCACCTTTATTTCAAATAGTTGCATCATTTTGACTAGACATATGTGCCAACATACTACTTTGATTATTTTATTTTGAAAATATATAATGAGATTAACTCAACACCAATTAAAAAAAAAAAATTATTTCGTGAACCGTTCCTTGTGACAATTCATGTTAGCTGGCCCCTAATCATTTCGGGAGTAATGTGGTCAAAGTTAGTATAAAAATTGTGTAAAAAATAAAAATGATGCAACTATTGAGAGGAGGTAGGAGTTTCAATTGGATGTGGTGCAGATACTATTACATTTTATGTTTTAACACCATTGAATAAGTATTGATAAATATCTCAGATTCTCAGATTTGAGGAGCCCATGTTATGTCAGTCTGGTAAAATAGTAGACAGTTGCAATGGCCAGAATTTCAATCCAAATTTATGTTCAGAAACATTATGCACTGTATTTGTTTTCCTCACATTTCTTACTTTGATGGTTTACTTTCTTTCGAGATAGTTCCAAGCAAGGATGAGGGAGATGAAGATGATGAAAGTGATACAGATGAAGTTAATGATGCAGAGGAGGATGAGTCTGACTTGGATCTGGCGTGGAAAATGCTTGATCTTGCTAGAGCAATTTCAGAAAAGCAGTCCAAGGAGACAATGGACATGGTTGATATCTTGTCGGCTCTTGCTGAAGTTTCCCTTGAAAGTGGTATCATATAATAATTTTTCAATTTGCTATGGAACATCGTTATCTGACGATTGATCATTGCCCCAATTATTGACTGCCTGTTCAAGTTTTCTATGTAGTAGCTGGCCTAATATCTCATGCTGGAATTCGGTTTCACTAAATCATGTTTGATGTTTTGATTGCTTCTTTGCAGAGGATATCGAGACATCTCTCAGTGATTATCAGAAAGCACTTGCCATCTTGGAGAGTTTGGTTGAACCTGATAATCGCTATATTGCTGAATTGTATCCTTCAAGCTTTGTAGTATTCTGAAAATCTTAGATGGTATCAAGTTTGCTCCCAGGATCGGGTCTATGTTTGTTGACTCTTTAGTTGACTTCCTTTGTATAGTCCATGCTAGACATTTTCTTCCATATGTTTTTTTTTTTTTTTTTTTTTTTGGGCTTAGGTAGCCACAAGGGCGGGTGATGAAAATCAATCCCAAAATCTCTTGGAACTGGGAGGAGAGCTCTAACCACTTGAGTTATCCCTCACTCTCTTCTTCATATGTTTTATGATTGCTTTGTAAACTAATCCAGGCATAGCTTAATTAGAACATCTGCAATCCACATACAGGTCGCAATAGTCATGGTTATATGGATCATTCTATATTCTTTGGACGGTTCTAGTTAATTAGTCTTCTTGGTAGCTTCTTATTCCAAGTGTTGATTCTATGTTATTAGAATGCTTCTTGAGTTATTGGTTCCAGGCTTGCTGTAGTTGAAAATCAGTATTTATTTCATTGCTTTGCTCATTTGTAACCTTCACAATAAATATCAGAAACTTCCGCATCTGCCTTTGTCTAGAGGTTGGCTCCAGGTCCCAAGAAGCTATTCCGTACTGCGAGAAGGCAATATCTGTCTGTAAATCAAGGATGCAACGCTTATTGGATGAATTGACGAGAACACCAGATGCTGCTGAGGATGCTGCCGCTGATAAACAAGCAAAAAAAGCAGAGATTGGAACATTGAAGAGTCTTTCCAGTGACTTGGAGAAAAAGGCAAGTCTCCCGCTCTCTCTCTTTCTTGTACCTCACCTTCCCCAACCTTCCTATCAATCTATCATTAGTTTTTCCTGCTTTAAGACTGCTAGGATAACTGTGCATCTGTCACCAGCTTGAAGATCTGCAGCAATTGGTATCCAACCCAACATCTATCCTATCTGATATCCTGGGGTTGGCAGCTGCCAAAGCAAGGGCCAATGAGCAGGCTTCTGCATCAGCACCAGCAAGTTCTTCACGTGTTGGTGTTGCCACAAGCAATGGAGATTTTGATTCCCCCACTGTATCCAGTGCTCACACTAATGGAGCTGCCAGCGGAGTCACACATCTTGGTGTTGTGGGCAGGGGAGTAAAGCGTGTGAACATGAATTCTGCGAATGTAGAATCAGACTCTAGCAAAAGACCTGCCATTGATCCTAAACCTGATACAGGTGATAGCAGTGCTGCTTGAAGAACATCAGATATTCTAACAACCGGATGTGTGAGACATTTCTGAGCATTTAGATTCTGATTGAGCGGCTTAATATTCCTCCCTTATTCTTCTTGTACTATTTTATGCATGTATGACTTGGATTGTACCATGTAGTAGTCTGGCTTTGACTCCTGAAAACGATATCCTTCCGAGTGCTGGTTATGTATGCTGTAGGATTTCTGCCTACTGGGGCGCTTATCTATGGTTCATCCTGCTGCCTTTTATTTATTGACACCGTCGTCACCGTCTCTTGTGGAGTTGTGCTCATGGGTTAGGAACCAACTATTTTCAAAATCAAATCAGTCCAATTTTAGATTCATATGTTGTCCAGTAGGCTTTGCATGGGCTTGGTCTTCACAATTTAAAGCTAAAGAGAACAGGCTTTAGCCTATAAGCTCTTCTTCTGTTGAGCTATCTCAAGCTATCTGGCCTTTTTCTTTTCTCGTAACTTGATGTCAGTGGATGATGGTCTATTGCATTTGCACCAATTTATCAACCTCAATAATTAGTAATGTCCAACCTATAGCAATTGTGATAATGTAAATTAAACTCCGTTGTTAAATTAGCTATCAATTTTAAATTAGCCTTAATATATGTTTTTTAAATGTCTTTTTTTTTTTTTTTTTTTTTTTTTTTTTTTTTTTTACTCATAATAATTTTTCTCATATTTAATCAGATGAAAAAGTAATAGTACTTTAGTGAGCGTGAACCTCAAAACATAACATCTATGTTAAAATGGATAAATTAAGAATTGAACAACAATGTAATACTCAATTTCTGTACAAAATTACAAATATGTGAATGTAGATTGCATGGAAGTGGACAAAGGTGTATAAAGCAGTGAAAAATAACATCAAAGCAGTGTATTGAATCATCATGTCATATAACTCATATTGTCAAGTACAATAACTCAATAGGCAATAATGCCAATAATTAAACGACTTTGATTACTTTTGTCTAATACCATAAAATAATAGGAAATAAATGTTGAGGTATGTCGAATTTTGTTTTTATTACACTGTAAGTGGCTCCACTATTTGATAATTACAGTGAGGCAGCCTACTCAGAAGCGAATTTCATTTGCCACTAATTAGAAAATCTTATCTTAAAAATCTCCATTGATATTGAAATCATACAATAATATTAGATCACTTTCCTACATACTAACTCTTTCTTTTGTCTTGATGATCTAGACGAATACTCGTGATAATGAGGTTTATTCTAATTGGAACTTTTTTTTAAAATAAATAAATAAATAAATAAAATAAAATAAAAACACAAGTACAAATAAAAAATGTCAATTAGTCTAATACTTGGTACAAATAAAAATAAAAAAATGTCAATTAGTCTAATACTTCATACTTGGTACACCATTTTATGAGGATAGATCCTATTCTTATTTAAATTAAATTGTGCTCTATCCACTTAATTACAATTTATCTAAACTTTATCGAATAGTTATTAGAACTTATTTTAGTAGTAAAATGACCCTTTATAACTAGAATCAAAACTTAATTATCTAGAACTTCTTTGTTTGAGCTTATTAACCTTATATTAATTTATAAATCCTAAAATAATTAAAAAAAATAAGATGCACAAAATAGGCCTAAATGTATAAATATGTCCAATCAAAATTTCTATAAATTACATTAATTTTATTTGTTAAAAAAAAAAGATGATACCATCTTACGGTAAAGACAACAACAGTCAAGCTCTCTAATTGGATTTTTTTTTTTAAATGCAATTATCTAGAGATTCTTCGTACACTACAATATATATTTCGTATAAGAGATTGAGATTTGCCTTAAAGACAAATAATTTGTTGTAATTGTCGGTGACCTTGCATGAGAGGTTAGTGACTTTAGGGGTAAAATTATCGGTAAGAAAGGTTAAAAATAATGTCAACTTGTAACTGATCAAAGTTCACGAGTGTATGACTTAATAGTCATAGACCTGAGGCCTCATATTAATTGACCAACAATTAACTAATAGATTATAGTTTTGGATTCTAATTAATCTGTTTTCTACCTAACTGGCTTTTGCACTTTGTCCAATGATTAGGTGAATAACAAAGCTTATTGTCCTCAAATATTCAAGTTTAATTTTTCTATAATAATGTTAAAGTCTTTGACGATTTCTTTGTGCTACCAAACAATCAACAGCATATTCCTTTTTCACCAATATATAGGAATAGGATTACATATACTCGTATCAAATAGTTTAATTTTTGAGCTACAGACTTGTCAACGGCATTACGGCAGTATAATTTAGGGTTCTGTTATTAGTAATTAGTATGCTTTTTTTTTAAAAAAAAAAATTTCTTGCTAACAATATAATGCATTAATGCTCCTAAAACAAGACCAGTGCAATTAAGATATTAGGTACCAGACTGTACATCATCAGTACATATATTGATATATATGATATGATTGAGATTTTCTACCCTACATTGTATTTTACAAATTACAAGTATCACTTTTTTTTTTTTTTTGTGTGTATGGTTAATTGTTTAGCAACCATAGACGTGAAAAGAGTTTATACGTGAATAGAATTTGATTTCGGATTTAAGGAACCATTCCATGAGCCTAATCCAACCTATATTCACCAAATCACCTTATTATTTGAAATTGAGCATAACACCCTGTAAATAATATATACAAGTACATCTTATTCACTTAGTCTTGTTACATATAGATTTTGAAGGCACATTGTAAAAATTAATTTTCTGTTATATATGTACTATGTGCCAACACCTTAGACGAGTCTGTCAGCCAAGTCACACTTAAATTCGAACTCGTGAACGCAAAGTCTTCACCAAGCAAGCTTAGATAGTATTCAGTACTTATTAATGTATTACTCCGTATTATAAATACATAAAACTTGGTTTAAGTATAAAAAAGTAGATGGTATTTACTTTACATGAAAAGAATAGCATCATACTGTGGTGGGTAGAAGGCAAAGCATTAACATAAATAAGCAAAGGAGAGAGTGGACCAAAGAAAGAGACATGAAAGTTGGACAAAATAAGATAGCCGTGGGAGTAGTGGAAGAATTCAAATATGGACATAGCAGTTTCAATCGGCTCATTTAAGAATGAAATAAATGCAAAATATGTCACATAAACATTACTCACTCAATTGTACGACCTAACTCTTTATGTCTTACCACAGTGGGGGTTGTTGCAATTGCAGGGGTAGATACGATCTTATTTATGATCATATACGAATTGGCAACAACACTGAACACCAATTTCATGCCCTTGTTTTTTTATAGCTTGGGTATTCTTTTGAATTTTGAGTAATAGACTAATAGCCCTAGTATGCCATGTTGGTAGGATTTCTAGATTTAAAGGATAAAATCATTTAGAAAAAAAAAAAAAAAACGATTTGATACAGCTTATAATGTACCGAGTAATTTGTTTTTGGATGCAAATGATGGTTGAGGCACTCCGATATTATGTTCCTAATTAAGCAATTAATTTGAGCACGAGGCTCACAAATTACCATGAGTACTTTCGTTTGGCAAGCTAAGCCAATTTCTTGTCTTATCTCCATAAGATTTGTGTTGTTATAAGACGGACATGCATGCAATAGGTATTATGTAACTAATGATAGTCATTGAATTTGTAATTTGATAACATAACGTACAAGTCTTTTCGGAGACATCTTATAACATAACCTACAAACAATAAAAGATATACTTGCATGGTTGCATATATACATTGGTTCATCATTTTCTTTTATTTTCTTTTTCTTTTTTCTTTTTTCTTTAGGAGGGAGGTTTGTGTGATGATGTAACATAAATCACGGTCTTGTTTCAATTTCCTAATCTTTATGCTTCTTGTTAAGCTTTTATACGTAGTATATATCAATCTCTTATTAGGCTAATTGGCCTTGCTTAACCATTCAAAGCTAATTAAAGCAATTAAAGAGAAGATTCTTGGAAAATGGGACAAACTATTTTACATGGTTAAATGATGTTATTATTAAATACATGCATATTTCAAAACTTGATCATTTCATCATTAGATTGGACATTGATTGCTCCTATCTTCACTTTTTTTCATTAACTCATTGTTTGAAAGCTTTCCACACACTCTATTTAAACAGGTGGGTCCAAATTATGAGCAATAATTTACATAGCCAAGACCAAAACAATTCAGGGTTACAATGATGAGTACTTCGTAATTAATTTTGAATCATTTCATTAGTGGCATAAGTGTTACTCCAAACTATAATAATGTGAAGTGAGGCACGAGGCAATAATCATATGTTTCATCTCCTTCCCTTTCTTCTCATTCTTGGATGTGATTCTCGTGATCACTGTCATACTACACTAGCACTAGTTTGCAATTGACTATCAACATTGTAGTAGTATGGTTTCTAATTAGTTAACATAAATAAACGGTACGAGTGCATAAATGAAAGAATTATTCGAGGAGAATAAAAAATGAAGTCACATACTCCATACTTGTGTAGTTGTGTGAACTTAAATGAAGTAATATACAAACACACCTACGGTCGTACTTCTATTTTAGGCTCAAGCTTGTCCTCCCCTCATAAAAAGTTTAAGATTATTCATTTACTCAATATCACTATTGGATGTTTAAGATTATTCATTAACTAATCTACTAGATATTACCGAGTACTATGTATTGGATGCATGTTTAATTAAGATTATTCAATGTAATTACTATGCATTAATAGGAGGAAAAATAATCTTACTTACTTTCATTTTCATGTGGTTGAGCTAAGTTTCATATAGAGATACAAAAAGATCAAATAAGATTTGGTTGAGCTAAGTTTTGTATAAAATAATATTATAGGTGACCTTATCATTAGAGTTATGAGATTAAATTCTACTACTCCGTAATTGTGAGTCCTTAAATACGAATTCCTTTATTTTTTTCCTCGCTTTCAAATTCCAACAAATTTAACTTGCAAATCTAGATTGAAATGTTTGAAATGATAAGTATTTATCACATCTCGCTCAAGTTCTTTTGCAATTGAATAATGTTTTTTTTTTTTTCATTACTATATATATATATTATACATAGATGAGCCAATATTCAAATTATTGAAAACTATAGCTACGTACTCCATAGTTTTTAAAAATCTCATTCATTGTATAACATTTGTGACAAAAGAAAGGCAATCCCAATAAAATATATAGAGGTGGTCGCAATTTTTTTTTTTTGGAGTGATATAAGGGAGGGAGATTTTAGTACT